TGCTATTAATATTGTCTTTCCAACAAGGTGACACAAATTCTGTTGAATAGATCAAAGATAGATCAGTTAAGATTAAAGAAGTAAACGCTAGAATGTCTTGACAAACTTAGACAGGGACTAGTGCATGAGGTTTCCGTAACTAAGGACTTTATTAAGTTGATACCTTCCCATAATGTTCAGTGGTATGACAGTCTTATGTGATTTGACTGTTTTTAATCATTTTAGCATTTAAAATTAAGAAACTACTATAGACCATGCATTCTATTTTTCATTCACTATCTCATTTGTGTATCACACCAAACATAAAGGCAGATACTACTATTCTCATTTGTGGGGAGGAATGGAGGCTAAGCATGATTAAATAACTTGTCTAAACATAACAAAAATATAAAGTGATAGAGCTGAACTTCAAGGTTTAAATTAGTTTAAAGTTCCCATCTTTTAACTCTAAGCTATACCATGTCTTCAGCATAGTACTAATTACTCACAGACGGGAAAATAAGGTTTACATCAATAGCAATTTCTATCAGCAGAATATAGTTGGTTAAGTCGATTTTGCCTATATTCCAAAATTATCCAAACAAATCTGCTATCAAATTTTTACTGACACAATCTCCTAGTTGTATTTAATGATACTTGTTGACTCAGCAGACCGTCTCATGTTTACTTTCATTCTCCTATCCGCCTTTCATCTCAGCCAGAGACTGTTTAAGCTAGAGCACTATTTCTTCCTTCGATCCAAGGACCACATGAATAACAAACACATGAAAATGAACACAACACTTTTCTGGACCTCAAGAGTAACTGCACTTGAATACTAGCTGCTTGATGAGAAGGCATGGTGTTACCCTTTCATCGTCTCCTGTGCCTGGTCATTCCCATACCAGCTTGTAACTGAATAGTTGCTGGTTAACATGACCAAATGATTGAGTAAACAAAGAAGTCAGGTGTATTTGCTCCTTTCTGTTTTAGTAAAATTAGGGCTCAAACTTGGAACATAGTCATGTTTTCCTAGCATCATGAATACAGTATTGTTTTTTGGTATGAGAAAACACTTTGGTATTGAAAATTTTCCAAATCCCCCAAAGAAAGAGGTTATTCAGTGTTGCTCATCATTTGGCATATCTTAGAAACTGACACGTTTATTTTACTGGCGATGTAATGACATATAAGTTATTTTTTATCATGATAGATTTGGAACTTGTAAGTGTCATTGAGAATCTCAATAATCGCTTACTAATGCTGTACCATTAATTATTTGTCACAGAACAGAGAACACACTCTTGGTCCTTGCCTTCAGTGACACTGGACACAGACAGGTAAGACTTCTGTTCTGGCTCAGCTTTTTAGAATTTCTGCAATGGCCTCTCTTGAGGGCATTTGTTTGGGTTAAGACATGATCTCATAGGGGTCCATCTAAAATGTGCATGTACCCAGAAGCGATCATTTCACCAATCACTGATAATCCTTAGCATACAACATAACATTATATGTTGAGCACCAGTAAGCACTTCTCCATTTTATGATGACACTGAGGCTTACAGAAGCTTCATGCTTTCCCCAATGACACAAAAACAGTGGAGACTAGGAAAATAAATTTGATCTTAACAATTCTCTTCCAGGCCTTAAATGTCTTCATTTCACTTCCTTACTTATTCAACCTACACAGTATGATGTGTTGCCACAGAATCTCATCTTGCTTACTGTCTAGTCCTTTAGCTGAACTGACCCTTAGAAACACTAGTCTTCACTTCCTTACTTATTCAACCTACACAGTATGATATGTTGCCACAGAATCTCAACTTGCTTACTGTCTAGTCTTTAGCTGAACTAACCCTGAGAAACACTAGTTTTGAACTAATCCAACTAGCTGTCCTTGGGGCTCCTGTGTTCGTACAATATTGTTGGATAACATGAAACAACACTGAAGATCGGGGCCGCTATGGAGGCGCAGTTCCTAGACCCAAATGGGTCCTCAGCGTGGCCCATGTAGTCCTTCCATATTCCCTGGTCCACTCCTGTTATCTTTCTGAATGGGACCACTTCCTTCGGGTCCTTTACTCACCCTTCACTTGTCACTTTCCCCCAATGACCGCAAGTCCTATTTTACTGCAAAGTTGCCTACTTCATCTTTGGAAAAATGGTAGAAATCTTGACATTTCTGTTCTCTGAAGTCAATATTATTTAAAGCAACTGTGTTTCCCCCAAACATACAATTAGTTACTCTTTCAATGAGCATCAATAAAAAATATTCATCCAGGACTTGGTGTCCTGGATTTCAATGACAGCTGTGCCTGGTTTGAATTAGTCATATGTCGAGTCTGTGAATCCTATCCCTGTATACATATGATTTAAAGAGGAGGCTGCTCGAATTATATCTAAACATAAATCACTCACACTTAAAAACTTTTAGATATGGTAGTAAGTTGGGTGGAGTTTGGACAGGAGTTCTTTGTGCGTATTAAACAAATTCAGTGTTGCTTACATGAACTCCTATACTACAGAATTTAAATTCTGCCACACACTAATACTTCCGATAAAGCATTAAATATTATCAGAGTACTATGTAGTTAAGGTGAGTATTCAGTGAAATGTTGGCTACTTTCATACATGATGGTTTGTAAAATTCTCCTACTTGTGGGTTATGATATCAAGCTCATCGCTGAAAGTATCACTAGTCAGAATGAATCAGAAAGGTACTGACTTTTCCCCTTGTCACCGAACATGTGCATCTCAATTAGACTAAAACTAAAACAATAAACTATTAATTCTACAAAGTCGATTAATTTTATAGAAAAAATAGCATGCCAACAGTTAGAAAAGAATCCACTGAATACTCTTGCACTATTTTTAATCTATTAATCTATTTTGTAATATATTATTGTGCAGATTTCCTGATTCATTCATGATAAAAGGGCTTATGGAAAATGTATACTACCTAAAAAACTCTTTTTAAAATTGCCTTCTGCCAAAAATAGAGAAAGCAACTATAAGATAGTTTGCATAGAGCATTTTTATTATTTTAAATAGTATTAAGATAATAGCATATTATTCTGGGGGTTTTTTGTACCAATATATTCCATACACTTCAACATTTAAATTTTTAATAACTGTCTTCATGATGATGTTTATTCTCAGAACTGGGGCATATAGTTAATGGATGTTTTCTTTGCCAGGCCTGGTGTTTTTAGCTAAGGTTGATGTTAAACACATACTGATTTAGATTTTACAGTAAATGCAATAGACTAGATAAAATATGGTTTTAATTTTTTAACTTTACAATTTAACTATAGTAGTAAAAGCATTATAAACAAATTAATAAAGTTATAGAAACAATCTGATTATGTTACTTAAAAACTAAGATGTTTGACTTTGTTACTTTCCTGCCACTATATTCTGAAGTTTTCAGAATAGAGATAGTGTGCATTTGAATTAATGGCTTTACCTGTAAAGTCTGAAAACTGAAAATCATTTCTTCCTAGAACATAAATTAGGAGTTGTTTATATAGTTGTTCAAATTCTAATTTGAACCATTAAAATCAATTGTCCTGCTCTTTAGAAGACTGAGTTTTAGTAATTTTTAGCATTTAATCATGCCATTTCATTGTAACTTTGTGGTTTAGAGTAGCACAAATAAGACTTGTAACAATCCATGAGTCCAAACATCCAGGTACTGCCTTCCCGGACATCCGTTGTATGATCAGGAAGTACTAAAATAATCTGAAGCCAATGTTAAGTCTTTCTGGCTATTATTAGCTATTTGAAAAGATCTAGATTCTCTTTTATCTGGAGATACCTTAAAGTATTAGTTGGCAATTAAACGTTTAAATACATTCAAAGATACCATTCGGTTCCTGTAGAATGGGAAAAGAAAGCAACAAAACAACATGTCTGTGAAATCAGGGCATTTGTGAAGAAATCTGTATGTGAATCTTAACCTTGCGGCTCCAGAAATTTTAGTGAACCAGAAAATCTAAAGCCATTTTCCCCACCTACATACAGATACGTATCTCTATAATACAAGTGTGTTCAATTCTTTGATAAAGTAAGATAAAGGGAAAGTAATTTTTTGAGTGTGTCATGAAACAAAACTCATTTTACTACAACACATTTTGAAAACTCTTTACTTTGATAACGTTTAATCTGCTTTCTCGTATCTTTTTTTAAAAAAAGAGTTCAACGAAACTCTCAGTCACTTCACAAGTCACGTTTCCCAGTCTTTCTCCCTGATTTGAAATACACTAGTCTCAGTTTCATAATCCACTGGCCAGAAACCATATCACTGTGGACATTCTTGCTGCTGCGACAGGTGTTTGTCAGTTCCTTAAGTTGCTTTCCTCTCCCCTGAGGTGGTGTTATTTCCGGTACATTCCAAAGCTCTGAAAAAAACTTTCACAGTCTCTTGCCAAGCCAAATCATGACTCGGCCTCAAAGTTATTGAGAACCCATTGTCTTCAGGCTTTTATTAAAGAGGAAAATTGTGTGCATCTTTCTATGATTCTGATTTTTTTAGCAACTAAAATATTTATAAAGAGTTTCATAAAAATAAAACTGAAAATAGAAAGGGTTTTTGTTCAGAAGCAAACACTCTGGTTGTCTGGGAATAGGCAATGATTATATTCCTGGTGAAGCTGAGTAAAAAGATTTTCATCATCCATTTAGATCACCCTGAAGTTCGACACACACATAAACAAAACTGACCTTGATAACTTGCAGTCTAAGATTTCTATCTGCTAATGTGTCCTCTACAGGTGAGGGTTCTTCATGCACTGTATAGCTAAACTTTTTATTGCACATCTTAAGGTGGCGAGGGATGCCTATAGAAGGCATATTGTCAATCAATTGCTTATTTACATAGTTTTCTCTCTCTCCGTACATTGCTCCCTTTCTTCACCACGTAAACCCCAAGCCTGCCATAATATGAATGATTCATGATCAGAGCACACACACACTTTAGAACTGTGACAAGGCAACAAGAAGATAAGATTGCTCAAACTAACCTTTTGGAAGTTTCTCAGTCCCGCTGAAGGCAACCAAGGTAAGAATGTGAATCAGTGGAATGTTGATAAGCTCTCTCATGATTAATCCAGGCTCAGGCAGGAGAAAGTTCCTTCTGGACAACTCAAGGAAAATGCCCCCTCAGTTTACATTTTAAAGCATGGTTTGTTACAAAAGGGTCATCTGCTAATGACTGTGTGTGTTGGTAGCTCCACTGGCTCTAAGTATAATCAGGAATTCTCAGACTTGGCTGTAATGATGGACACAGCCAGCTGGTGAGTATCTACTTAGGCCAGTAATGCAAGTGTAGGGCTGGAGGAACAAGGGAAAGAAAATCCCTTTAGAATCCTTTTTAAGACAGTGGCAGAAGGACAATACCAGATGCCTTTTGCAACCATTGCTGTATTCCCTGAGGTATAGGCTTCCCGATCTTTTTTTTTTTTTTTTTTTTTTTTAGGCGAGGCAACCCTTGGGTGACCTCACAGACTACAAGGACCTTGTCAGCTTACAATCCCTTATTTTTCACGCCTACAGCACCTGGTCTTCCTAGGTGGTCTCCAGCCAAGTACTAACCAGGCCCGACCCTGCTTAGCTTTTGAGATCAGATGGGACCGGGCTTGTTCAGAGTAGCATGGCCGTAGACGGCTTCCCGATCTTCTAATTCAGCTCACCACCTCTCCCACATTCACAGCAGAGCCCTGGGTGTATCTAATTGTGACTCCTCTCCCTCTCTGACGCCACCTCCTACTTCCAACCCATTATCAATACCTACAGATTGTATCAACTCAATATTCCTTGAGTTCTTCCTCTCCTTTGATTCCAACTAGTATAACACTATCCCAACCTCCTTTTTAGACATTCATCTTCTCTGAATGACAGCGATAGCCTACTTTCTGTTCTCTCTGCCTTGTGTCTTACCATCCTCCAACCTGTTTTCAGACAGTCTCTTCTGCTCGATAGATGTCTGTGGCTCCTTATCACATAAAAACATATTCAAACCTCTCTCGTGTGACATAGGAGGCCTTGGCTTAACTCTGTCTACCTGTTAGCCTCATGTCTTATAATCCATCTAGACGTCTTACTTTAATATTAGTAATCCATCTAGACTTCTTATTTTAATATTAGTAACCGTATATATAGCTTTCTTGCCTCCACGAATTGCTCATACTGTTCCAGCCTCTTAGAATGCTTTTCCCCTCCTCTCCACCCAGTTAATATCCATCTCGGCTGATCATCGTCTCCTCCTGGGAGCCATCCCAGACCCCGAATTCCATGTCTTTTCAAAGTTGTGTTAGGTTTGCCTCCTCTCTATCATTGCACTTACTGCATTGTTTGAAGATTCTTTCCCTCTCATATCAGTGGCACACTCATTCCTTGGCTTCACGAGTCCACTGAGTTGGCAGCGTGAGCTGTCAGCCAATTACATTCCTTGCAGCAGATTCTCCTGAAGGCACACCTCCATCGCTTCCAAATGGGTCTGCTAGGTGAATTGCCTTTCCTCACTGAACAATATTTCGTGAGACTTTTCTACGTTAATATGTACAGCACTATCTCATCATTTCTATTGGCTACATAATCTTCTAAATCGTAGGTATAGGATGGTATATTTAACCACTCCCCCTGCAACTTATGAGAGAACCCATTTCCCCACACCTTTATCAACACTTACCCTTGAATTCTTACATTTAAATAGGATAAAATTGGTATTTCATTGTTTTAATTTATATTTATTTTACTGAACACTATCAATCATGAGAATATTTCATATTTTTGTTGTTATCCATTTTCTTCTTCTGTAGCTTTTATCTATTTTCCTCAGGTTATTTTTCTTTTTATTATTATTTTATAGAATATTTTTAATACTCTTGGTGTAAATAATTTATATAATTTGTCTGTTGTATATTTTGCAAATATTTTCTATGTAGAACACCTTGACTACCTAGCCATAGTGGTTGATTCAGAAATAGGCTTATGGCTCAAGTTCACTAGTCCAAGGTCTCCCTGGTATTTCACTGGACCTAATGCAAAATGTCTTCCCTCTTAGATCACCGCCTTTGAGGCCCAGGTAATCTAGAGCTGTTGGAGGCTTTCATGCTCCATTCACAAGAACCATTGTAAATGGCAAAGACAGATCTATCCACCATTGGACTTCCTTGTTATTTAAATTAATATGCCCTCTCCTTTTTGGCTTGGCTACTATAAGTTTGTTTTCTTAAACCGCAATCAAAATAACCCTAATGTAATTTTAAGAGAAGAGATATAGATTTGATTAGGCTTCTGCTCCAAGAATATTCTGAGAATGCCATATATTTCATGGAAAATTTAGACATTGGCAGGACGAGCACATTTTTTATGTGAAATTCAAGAATTGCCAGGATGAACAGTGTGGCTACCTGTCATTCTCATAAGTAGCACTAGTAAAGCACAGGGTTCTGGAAATTTGGGGGACTATACATTTGTGAGCGAAAGTTGGCTCAGGATCAGGACCAGACATCAATGAAGGGAAGTACAAGGTTTGACACTCAAGAAACCTTCCCATTCAAATGTCCAGAAGGAGGATTTGTGAGTGAGCACTCTCTATCCTCTTTTCCCTTTTCCCTAAAACATCAAACAAGCATGGATGGTGCCCATTTTGAATCCAACAGGAACTGTACCCTATAGACCCAGTGACTCCAGGAAATTATCCCGTACTTCAAATAACCAGCACAACCCATCTGAAGGTGACAATGGTACTGCGCAAAGCTAAGGGGAGATAAAACTCTGTTGAGGGAAAAATGAAGCCAGAATTTGAGGGAGAGTGCTGGTTCAAAATGAATTCATCATTGGCTAAAAGAAACCCATGGAGACTGTGGCTTAGGCATGATCCCAAAGTGTGGCAGCTGGAGGCTGTCAGCCAATTACGCTCCTAGCTGCAGTTTCTTGGAACTTGGATACAAAATGGCCTTTTATCCTACAATATAAGTAAATCTATTCCTTACAACAGCAGGCTCATTCAGCCTCAGAGAGTGGAGACTGGATGCCAGCCAGTTATTTGGCTTCTTTCTGGGCATGTGGAGGGTTTATGGGGTTGATGGCAAGTCTTCCCTTTAATAAAATGCAGTCAACCACCAATTAAGCTTGCCTTGCCACCTCTTGCATCTCTGCTTCTTCATCTCAGAAGCTGGCCGAGGCTCCTGGGAAGTAAGCTCAAAGCAAGTAGCACCATTCTGAGTCATATCTTTAACTAGACATTAGAATGTAGCTGCACAGCAGCTAATGAGACCAGCCCATTTCTGCTGGAGTCAGCACATCGCCAAGCAAGCTCTCCTGGTTTGCACCACACTTTCATACATCCGGTGAAGCTTGGCTAAGAGCCCCTTCTAATTCTCTCAAAGGTCAGTGACCTAATTATCTGCCTCACTAGTCAGCAGACAGTAGGTCAGAAATGCCACATGGATGACCCTTTCTGAAAAACTCCTAGGAAAGTAAAAAAGATATTCTGAGTTGTATTTTTAAAAAGGAATAGAATTTCCCATTAAATATTAGGACAGTGATGAGAGATATGTCAATATTTTAGAGGCCTACAATCATAAAATTGGGAGGGGCTCTTAAAAGAAAATGTTTGTCCAATGAACGTATAAATTTTACTGAATACTTACTATCCAGCAATAAACAATGGAGCTTAATGTCTTTTTATGGGGTGAATATTATACAACTACATAACTAACTAAATTATAACCTAAAGAGATATCCTGTACTGTAAAATTATATAAAATGGAACCTAGCCTAGTCTGAGGGCTGAAGAATGACTTCAATGAGAAAGTGTCACGGAGGCCATATCCTGCAGGATAAATAAAAGTCAGACAGCTAAACTAAGGAGGTCTGGGAGTGGACTGCAGCAGGTAGTGGGAGAAAAATGTAGAAATAACTGAGATATGAAGGAGCATGGTGAGGTGATGGAAATGAAGGCAGGTCAGTGTGTTCGGAGTACAGAAAGGGAGCGTAAACACTACAGAGGCGGGTAGGGGAGGTCATCCGGGACCTTGTATGTCTCAGTAAGAACTTCATTGTAATAGCAGTGAAAAGCCATGGAGTGTAGATTACAATTAAAACTATGAAAGTCAATCAGATACGCAAAGGGGAGAGTGTAGAAGGAGAGAAAGCCCTAGAACTGAGCCATGAAACGTTCTAAGCTTTAAAAGTCAGTCGTAGATTAAGAGCTAGTAAAAGAGATTGCCAGGAAGCAGGTAGTGAGATAGAAAATAAAAATCACAAAAATGAAGGGAAGAAAAGAGAGCATTTCCAGCAGGAGGGTATGCTTTTAGGAGTATGCCCAATGCTTCTGAGAGGTCAAGTAAGAAATAATGGAAAGGTTTCCGTTGAATTTGGCTACTTAGAAGTAATTTATGACCCCGTTAAAGGGCAATCTCAGGGAACAGCAGGGAATGAGGTGAGAAAACAGAGCGGTCTATGTGGCGAATAGGAAGTGAGAAAATGGAGACAGTACGTGAATATGAATCTATCAGGAAGAGAGAGGATGAGGGGGAGGAGAAAACTGAGCAGCAGCTGAAGGTAGAGGTTCGATGGAGACAGAATTTACATATTTTTAATTTATTTTGAAGGTGCGCCTTGAAGCATCCTGTGGAATGTAAGAGGTTAATGACACAGGAAAGAGAAGAGATAGTTCAAGGTCTCGAAGCAGGTCGGGGGGCTGGAATCCTGAACACAGGATCTTGTAATAGAGAATGACGAGGAAGGAATGAGCAGGAAAATACGTAGGCGGGGTGGTGAAGAGTTTATTGAGCCCTCATCTGATGACTTCTATCATCTCTATAAAGTAGAAAGTGAGGTCAAAGGGGATTTAAAAGTTATTCTGGAGAATAAGAGAGCACACAGTTGAGGTTGTTCACTCTGAAGTTATATTGATACCTGAACACCCTGGTGTGAATTTTTTTTTTTTCTCTAGCACGGCTCAGCTTCCCAAGTGACAGATGTTGAATGGTTGGGTTTACTTGGGGGCTGGGGTGGGGTGGGGTTTGAGGAAGGAAAGGGTATTTGTTAGTGATTCATTAGTTCCTGGAAGCAGCATTCCAGAAGAGAGATTGAAATGTGATGCCAGGAAGCAAAGCAGATGTATTGAGAACAGAGATAGTCAATAAACAGGTGTTGTTCCTGGCAGGTAGGAAAAAGAAGGTAGGAAAATGGACAGTAGGAGCAAGGGCTGAAAGGGAAGGAT